CCCTGAGGTGTCCCCTGACCTGTCCCTTGTCCCCAGATCGTGGTGACGGTGTGGCAGAGGGACTCAGAACCCCCGGAGCTGCAGGAGGGGGGGGGGGTTACCTGCGGCTCCTCCAGGGCCGCGCCCCCGCCCAGGTGTTCCGGCAGCACCGCGGGGCCTTCAAGGCGCAGGGTGAGCACCCCAAAAACCTCCAAAATGGGCACAATTTCCCCCAAAAACTGTCCCCAAAGGTGTCCTCGGGGTGTCTCTTGAATGTCACCTCGTTGTCCCCGCAGTGAGCACCCTCCTGACCGTGCTGCCACCGCCCAGGGTCCGCTGCCGGCAGGTCACCGTGTCCGGGAAGTACCTGACGGTGCTCAAAGGTGAGGGGGGGACATTTGGGGACGTTTGGGGGCATCTGGGGAGGTGGGAGGGACAGGGGGACATCTGGGGATGTTTGGGGACATTTGGGGACAGGGAATATGGGGGGACAAGGGGGAGACATTTGGGGACAGGTGACGGTGTCTGGGAAGTACCTGACGGTGCTCAAAGGTGAGGGGGGGGATTTGGGGACATTTGGGGATGTTTGGGGATGTTTGGGGACATTTGGGGACAAGGGGGGGGACAGGAAATATGGGGGGACAAGGGGGGGACATTTGGGGACAGGAGGGTTGAGGTGTCACCAGGTGACGGTGTCCAGGAAGTACCTGACGGTGCTCAAAGGTGAGAGGGGGAATTTGGGGACATTTGGGGATGTTTGGGGACATTTGGGGAGGTGGGAGGGACAGGGGGACATGAGGGGGACAGGGGGACAAAGGGGGGGGACAGGGGGAGAGGAAGGGGTCAGGTGTCGGCAGGTGACGGTGTCCAGGAAGTACCTGACGGTGCTCAAAGGTGAGAGGGGGGAATTTGGGGACGTTTGGGGACATTTGGGGATGTTTGGGGACATGGGGGAGGTGGGAGGGACACGGGGACATTTGGGGACAAGGGGAGGGACAGGGGGACATCTGGGGACAGGTGACGGTGTCCGGGAAGTACCTGACGGTGCTCAAAGGTGAGGGGGGGGATTTGGGGATGTTTGGGGACAAGGGGGGGACATTCCCAATGTCCCCAATGTCCCCAAATGTCCCCCGGTGTCCCCAGTGCTCCCTGGGAGCTCCCAGGAGGAGATTTCCCTGTGGGATGTGCAGATCCTGCCCCGACAGCCCCCCAATCCCAACATCCCCAAATCCCCCCAATCCTCCCAATTCCTCCAACCCCCCCCAATGTCCCCAATGTCCCCAATGTCCCCAAATGTCCCCTGGTGTCCCCAGTGCTGAACGGGAGCTCCCAGGAGGAGATTTCCCTGTGGGATGTGCAGATCCTGCCCAACTTCAACGCCAGTTACCTGCCCGTGATGCCCGACGGCTCCGTCCTGCTCGTCGACGACGTCTGGTCAGGGGACACTTTTTGGGGACATCTGGGGACAGTCGGGGGTGGCAGGGGGCTGAGGGGACCTTGGGGACAATGGGGGGACCTTGGGAATGTGGGGGGACCTTGGGGACAATGTGGGGACCTTGGGGACAGTGTGGTGACATCAGGGATGGAAAGGGACCTTGGGGACCTTGGGGACAACGTGGAGACCTTGGGGACAATGGGGGCACCTTGGGGACAATGTGGTGACATCAGGGATGGAAGGGGACCTTGGGGACAGTGAAGGGACCTTGGGGACAGTGTGGGGACCTTGGGGACAGTGAAGGGACCTTGGGGACAGTGTGGTGACCTTGGGGACAGTGTGGGGACCTTGGGGACAGTGTGGGAACCTTGGGGACAGTGTGGGGACCTCAGGGACAATGTGGTGACCTTGGGGACAGTGAAGGGACCTTGGGGACAATGTGGTGACTTTGGGGACAGTGTGGTGACCTTGGGGTGTCCCTGAGGTGTCCCCCTTTGTCCCCCCCCCAGCCACCACTCTGGGGAGGTGTCCGTGGGGACCTTGGGGACAACGTGGGGACCTTGGGGACAGTGTGGTGACATCAGGGATGGGAGGAGACCAAGGGGACCATGGGGGGACCTTGGCAACAACATGGAGACCTTGGGGACAGTGTGGAGACCTTGGGGACAGTGTGGGGACACCAGGGATGGGAGGGGACCTTGGGGACCCCGAGATGTCCCCGAGGTGTCCCCGGGATGTCCCTGAGGTGTCCCCCTGTCCCCCCCCAGCCACCACTCCGGGGA